GAACTGTTTTCAGTATAATGGCATTGTTGTAGAAGTCGTGCAGTAGACACATAAGTTGCTGTAGCCGTAGCTGACGTAGATGATGCAGATATAGGCATACAAGTAGAGACGCTGACATAACGGTACCGTTATAAAACAGTATATATGTATGTAGATGCATTGTTACGATGATGTTGGCTAGCTAGAAGGGTACGGCTGAAAGTAACAGAACAGTTGTCCAAAACATTGAGTCGATTTGTAAGGGATCAATAGACATGGGGCTGTCACGTGAAACTATTGACAAGGATTTGAAAAGCTGACAACTGACTTTCGTGAATGTGTCTCACCTGAAAGTGTGCTGCCGGCGTGTTACGGCGCCCAGAGTACTAATATATGCAGCACATGCAGAGAATAAAGGTCGCATTGTGTGATCTTGCTTTGTTGAGCAAAACGTGCGCATGGCATCTTCATTGCCTCAACTCAAATTTAATACCTTTTTCTAGTTTATACTCGTTGTTTATGGGGCAATATATATTATACATGTTATCACGTGAATCTCGTGTTCTCCTCTTCGCAGTTCTCACCACGTTCTTGTAACCCATGAAGATCCAGGGTTAGAATTGGTCTTCAGCAACCCATGCTTGTCGTAAGAGGCGACTAACGGGATCGGGTGGTCAGGCTCGCAAATTTGGTTAATGTCTGTCATCGAATCCCAACTGCGAAGATAGATGCTCATGATGTCAATCCCTGGACTCGATCATTTACAGACAGCCGTCATAGAGCTGGCATATATTGCGGTGTTGAACAACAAACAAACACTGAATTCTTGTTATGAAATACCCACATAAATATAGCTGAAGAAAGCTTCTGGAGCGAGTTCATTGGGATTAAAGACGCTTTGGTCTGTGTTTCAGTTATATACCACGGCGTTTCAGATTAATATGGGAATAAAACCATCTCTGATGGCGGTCTCTAAATGATCGAATCTGGACCCGACAAACCAGTAATTGACATCATGAGCATCAACCTACGCATTTGGGATACTATGACATGCAACCAAATCAGCGAGCCTGACCACCTGATCCCGTTATTCGCCTCTACGACAAGCATGGGCTGAGACCAATCTGACCCGAATCTTCGCGAGCATTTACAACTTTAGTGAAATCCACGTGCACGTGCATGAAAGGATGCTGACACATCAATAATAAAATGTCAGGATTCATCTGTGATTCATCCGAAACGATGGGAACAGTTCAAACGTTCCATGTTCCTTCAAAATTCAGATTACAGGAGTTGAAATTATACAAGAGTGAGTGTGCAAGTTGCATTGATGAACGCGGAACAAAAAACTCATTTCATATATATATATATATCGATTAAATTACAAAATTGATTTTCAACTTGTAGCTTAAATACTCCCCTTCTTCAATGTTAACACACACACACACACACACACACACACACACACACACACACACACACACAGGTTGGGTCCAATGGCCATAATAACCCTCGGTTATAAAGATATAAGAAAAAAACAGCTGATGGCTTTGTGCAGAGAATTTTATATCCTCAGTTCCATCTGCGTAAGGAGGGTTTCTGGTTACCAATGGTTACGTCATCGCCGACACGGCTCCACCCCACGTTCCATCACCGCATCACCGCTGGAGACCGTTCCCTGTACGTGATCGGAACGTACAAATTGTTACAATTCCGGGGATACACGGAAGGTCCTAGACTAACGTTTAGTCTCTGAACATATATAATTCTGATGCAGACACAATCTTCATTTAAATTGAAAAGGAGCCCCAGGGTAACCTGTGGAAAATCTAGACTTGCTTCCTGTATAGCTATAGCAGTGTACAGTAAGGGATGGGTGAAAGGGAAAATAATACAAACAAGAAAAGTCCCAAGGCTAGCTGAGTGGTCATTGCACCTGTTCAGTGATATAGGTCGGTCAACGAGAATCAACTATCGGGATAAGCACCTGTGCTTTAAAGGTCGATTGGGGTCGAACTGAACGGTTTTCTTTAGTTTTGGTTTTGTTTGTTGTTTAACGCCGCACTCAGCAATATTCCAGCTATATGACGGCGGTCTGTAAATAATCGATTCTGGAACAGACAATCCAGTTATTGATATCATGAGCATCGATCCACGCAATTGGGATCGATGACATGCATCAACCAAGTCAGCGAGCCTGACCACCCGATCCCGTTAGTCGCCTCTTCCGACAAGTATAGTCGCCTTTTACGGCAAGTATGGGATGCTGAAGACCTATTCTACCCTGGCTCTTCACGGGTCGGTTTTCCTTTTTATGATAATTATAATTCAATCATAATCACGTTTAAAAAAGGAAAATAAATACTATTTTAGCTTTCTCGACAGAGTCATAGGCACTGACGAGTATTTTTGTGTTTGTTGTTTAACGCCGCACTCTTGCAATATTCCAGCTGTATGACGGCGGTCTGTAAATAATCAAGTCTGGACCAGACAATCCAGTGATAACTTCATCAGGGAGTGAGCCGAGTTTAACGCCGCTTCTTATACAGTTTTTCATCTTCATCACAGAGGGTGTAAATATGTACTTTGTATGATCACTTAACGTGGTTTAAAACGTTTTGATTCAATAGATCTTTTTTTTAATTTTGGGGGACAGCCCAAAGTGACGTATAGCGAGGTAGACATTCATACAAAGTTAGTGAAACCGGGTGCGGACAGACCTGAGGAGTTATTAAATAGTATTTACAACGTGCAATGGTAGTAGAAAAATAATACTTTAAATCATTGTGTGTAAAATAGTGGCCGTAAAAGGATAAAAATAGACCTGATACCATAGTAACTGTGTTTTATAAATACATGAGTTTACTGGTGACGGAACTTCTCCGAAATGGTAGGTAAAATTTATTAAAGGGAAATCCAATTTCGTTTTGTTAAACAATACCAAGTTCGAGGTGATAAAAACACCGGGTACCTGGTGAATGTATGGACGGGCCCATCACAATCGTCGTAAAATAAGAAATATAAAATATCACAATTTCAATAAAATAGGATAAACTATCAAAGTTGCAATATACAATGAGACACTTGCTAAGTCGACGCCCTGACACCTCAGCGATGATTACTCACTGTCTGTGGGAGAGTCAGTGCGGGACCGTCAGCGAGTGGGCGGGGACAAAAGCAGGTATTTCCGTGACGTCATGTACTGGTTTAATCTGAAGGTTACTTACCAATTGCATCACGAATTGGTAATAATCTAGACTGATATATCCGAGAAATATCAATTCTAAATGGTTGCGTCAGATGTCTAACAAAGAAAACCAGTTATACGTTAATTACTATCCTATTTCCGTAGTTTTGTCAGCATTATACTGACTTAATGATAGCCTCATAACGTACGTTAGTCCTGCACCATGACCGTGGAATATATTTATTTTTTGAAAAAATAATAATCTAGAAATGCATACAAAAGCAAGTCTAGCCAGCTCAAGCTAGCTCTATTCCACAAATTCTGAAATCAGCATAGGGAATTTTTTTATTTTTAGAGTCAAGAAGGATATTGTGTAATATAAGATTTCAGAGACTAAATGTTAGTCTAAACGTACGTGATCATACACTGATCCCGAATTAGAAGTAATCATTCATAATGATATTGGTGATGATAATTATGTTTATAATTATCATCATGGTAATCAGCTGGTAATGACAAAGTTTATACCAACAGACAATGCCATTCATATTCTAATCTGTCACTATATCTATATCTTTATCTATATATATGTATGTATGTATATATATCTTTCAATATATTATATAGTATAATATTTTATAAAATACAAATGTCCAAAGATGAGCTGTATAATTTACTCAAACGGTTTCATATATATTCAGCAACCCATGCTTGTCGTAAGAGGCGACTAACGGGATCGGGTGGTCAGGCTGGCTGACTTGGTTGAAGCATGTTATCGGATGCCAATCGATGATTGTAATGTCAGTCACAGGATTGTCTAGTCCAGAGTTTCTTATTTACAGACCGTCGTCAAATGGCTGGAATATTGCGGCGTTAAAAAAAAAGACAATAGAGAAACTAGCAATTAATCACCCCCAAATACTCATCTGTAAGAATACAATTCGATCTCTATTAACAAGAACCATAAATATATGTTTTAATTGAAGGTCAAAATGTCGTAAACACAGTATTGTTTGAGGGGGGAATTAACTCCCCTGACTGTAGCACGTGAAATCAGCATGCTCAGACCGGAATCGATATCAGCTGATGCGCTATATATAGACATTGACACCATCGCCGTATTGAAATAGACAAAGGATGATGTCAATCACGCTAATGTATGAAAAGCGAACAATCGTCTATTCGACTTTAATTTTTCATGGGAACATTTTACTCAAAATACAGTTTATTTCTAAATGAGATCAAACACACTCTGTGACAAGTGTCCTCAATTCCATCCTGCCGTACAGAACGAATTTATCGATCTCCAGAAATCGGTCAGGGAGTTTCAGTTTCTGACTCCAGATCGAAGATTTTCTGCTCATTTAAAATATACACATTAAATCGTAGTTGTGTATTCAAGTTTAGAGTTTGATCATTTATTTCCGGCGTGTTTCGCCTACCTAAACTGCGTGCATCATGATTCACATAGGCTGTTCTCTTCTTCTGTGGCGAATGAGAAGCCGTTTATCAGCTGCTAGCGGCGTGGAATCCCCTCTTACTCGAGATCTATAATTAGAACGAGAGACCCGACTGGCAAAGTGCGTGTTCCATATCCGATCCCACTTTTCTGTCTGACGAATAATAACTGCGCCTTCAGAGCATTTTCCATGCAATACTACAAGTTGATTTAATGTAACAAAACATTAATTTCCACTTCAATTATGGTCGAATGCACACATGCTAATTGAAAAAAAATAGGCCAGTCGTGCTGATTCCCAACTCCGAGCTATCCGTTCGGATATCAGACCCGTAGCAACGACGGCCTTGACCCCAAATATCTGGCTGTTTATGCCACCGTTCACGTGGACAGAGGGTGATTCCCGCATTGCCTATATAGCTTGCCGATAACCGCATTTCGTACATTACCACAGGACACTCAGAAGAGAGAACACGGACTGTGAACATTGGATGTTACAATTTGGAGGATTTACTTTACGTGCTTAAAAGGTGAGATATCTTTGTGATCTATAAAATTTCTTCGATGAATAACTTATGCGATACTAATTTTGTGAATTTGACGGGATGACTTTCGCCTTATTGTTAAATTTAACACGGACTTGTATATCGGTCAGTGATTTTAACATTGAATGAAAATGTTCACATTTACTTGTATGACATGTGAAGTAGATCTCTATATTTTGTTCTCTCATCATAAGTACTTAATTTGGAGATCGGCATGTTTTCGCGTACTAGGCCTATAGATCTTCAATTTAGTCCGTGATCAAACGCTTGGGGGGGATAAAGTGATCTGGGTCCGATTTCTGATAATTTGTCGGAAATGTTTGTCTATAGCCTCCTGTGCTAATCGTTGAACGTGGATCTGGAGTAGATCTCGTTTTATTAATGTTACTTGATGAAATATGTTTATGCAGTAGGCCTAACCAGTTGGAGCATTGTGGGAATTTGTGAATGAATGCGACAACAGCTGATCGCATATAGGCCCTATTTGCCGAATCTGCTTTGTCTGATGACATGCCTCCAGGTCCATCTTAATTCATTTGGCAAACAACTTATTATATTGTCATAGACTATACGACCATGTCCTTTCAGTCAAACTCCTAATAATTTGTTTCCTTGCGGTGAAGCTGCACGAGCAGCTTGTTGGAAGTGCCTCGCAGGCACAAAGACGCTGCTCGACTCCGCCCTTGAGCTCTGATTGGCCAATCGGCTCTATGACCTAGGTCGTTTGCATTCATTAAACCCATTTCGCTGAAGGTCGTAGTTGTAAACACGATTGTCCCGCGTGGCCTAGTTTAGTCGATCTTGTAAACTACAACTTTACTCCCACTGCTTGACATTGTTTATGAAATTTTGTTGTTTACGTTGAACCGTGACGGAGTTGTTTTGATCTGGTCGTAAACAATTTTTGTAACAAAAGTGTTTGGCGTAAACAAGGAGTTGTATTTAAGTGGTGTTCTCTCTACTTTTCCTCAGATATATCAAGATGTTGGACAACGAACTCAACAGAAACGAAGTGCAAGTGATCAAGAGGGAGAACATGTCCCAGCAACTGGGAATGTCGTCTCAGATGGGAGGCCCGTTCGCCGAAGTATCGTCAACAATGGCCGTCCCCGAAACGCCGAAAGGTGGCGTTCTGGTCAAGGTAAATACTTCATTCCGTTTGAATGATCTTCGTCAATTAGTTTTGTTCTATTTCATTATTTTTGTGCTATCAACTATTGCAACTTTGTTTGAAATGATTATATTTTGAAATTATTGGTAAATATTTATGAATTCTATATGGTCGCTCTTTGTTTTCACAGGTGTGCTATGCGGGTGCGTGTTATAACGAGGGCCACATGAAGAAACGGGGAATCCGCCCACGCTTTCCAGGTATTAGAGACACTTCACTATATCCAGGTGTGGACTTCAGCTAAACCAATACTTCTCAATCCTCTCACAGCCGTATAAAACCAGCCATGTTAATTTCCCGTGGGGTTAATTCATATCATCCTCAATTCTGCAGTCACAACATGGAAATCTCTCATAACCCGATTTGTGCTTTTCAAAATTTATGTGAAATATGCCTTTTTCCATCCATGCTTCTTAAATGAAAAATATAACAAAATCTTAAATGGTTACTAGTATTTCGCCTATTCCCATTTTCAATTGTTGAATTGAAATAAGTTCTTATTGAGTTAAGTCAAAAAGTATTACATTTTACAATTAATATAACCTAGGGAATATACTCTTAAGTTCTAAAGAGGAAAGAAAATATATGATGTTTAGATTAAAGAAAATAATTTATACTGTTATTTAACCAGTTTGTGGACAATGAAATGGGTTATTTTAATTTTGGATTTTCTGTTATTGTTAATAGTGATTTGAGAAAGAAAATTAAAAAAAAAATGCAAATCATTTGAGGAGGCAAGAGAATTTGATTTTGGCTGATGTTAACACCATGTTTGTATTAATATAACTCGACATTATTTACTTGTTAACACTTAGCTGTAGATGTAGAATTAGATATTTAGTTACTAGTCGGCTTGTTGAACTGCATTGAAGGACCTTGGAGAAGGAACATGGTCAAAGGGAAGCAACTCTGCAATGACTACATTTCTGTTGCAGGGTATGAAATCGCCGGTGTTATTCACGATGTCTGCAACACAATCCCCAACTGCAACTACACTCCCGGCGACAAAGTGATCTTATTTCCTGAAGAAAGTGTGGCTAGTTCAGGGTACGCAGAGTATATTCCCGTTCAAGACTCCGGATGCATTCTTCAGCTACCTCAGAACATGGGCTTGGATGTGGCAGCCATGTTGCCGGGCGGGGCTCTCACAGCTTATGCAGCCGTCACAAACGCCAAACCTCACGTTGAAAAACTCCAGAAAGTGAAATGTGAGTATTTTAATTAAGCTTCCTTCAAATTTTTATATTTATAATCTAAGAAATACATCATTGGACAGACTTCCGCCCATAACCCTCTCCAACAGTTTTACATGTATGCATTGCTGCTCAATCCTTTTACTTATATAATTTTTATTGAGGGGATACAAGGTGAAGTCTTAACCATCCTTGTCATTTAGATTCGGAAAATATATTATTACAAAATCTCGTTTAATTTGGTAATGAATCTAAAATATAGAATGAATTATCAGCAAATCTATTCTGACATTTTTACTAAAGGATACCCAAAGAAAAACAAAGTTTTCAATTTATAGAAATAGATAACTTTTAATTTAAATTGACTACAACTATTTGATGTTTTTTTCCAGCCTGCGTCAATGTCCTGATAGTTGGAGCCGGTGGACTAGGACTCTGGTCATTGCGCATTGCCCAATACATTATGGGACCCAACTGCTCGAACGTGAAGCTGTTTGTGGCTGACAACAGCATTGATAAACTTCTCACAGCTCAGGACCACGAATGTTATGACATTATTCACTGGAATGAGGAAGATCATGAAGAATACATCGTTGAGAGAACTCTTGATGCCTGCAGGGGTGGCGTCGACATCATCATCGACTTTGTCAGCTCCCCAAGAACCATGAGCAGATCCCTTAAAGTTCTCAATCGGGTAAGCATTTTAACTTAAATATAAATCCCATAATTAATTTAAGATCTGGATTGTATATTGTCCATTTTTAATTATTTTGAGTGTCGTTTTGTAAATATATTCCAAAGATATGAATATTCATGATTTTGTTTTGTTTTTGCAGGAGGGTCTTATACTCGTCGGCGGCAACAGCATGACCGAAGTTAGCATCAGTCTCAACACCCTCGCTGCCAAGCAGCAGAGCATTGTCGGCATCCCCAAAGGAAACCTCAACCAGCTGCAAGAACTCGTTGATGCTGTGTCGCAGGGAAATGTAAGTTTAACACTTGTTCTTTGTTGTTTAAGGGGCGGTCGAGTAGCCTAGTGGTTAAAGCGTTCACTCGTTACGCCAAAGACATGTATTCAATTCCCAACATGGGTACAATGTGTGAAGCCCATTTCTGGTGTCCGCTGCCGTGATATTGCTGGAATATTGCTAAAAGCGGCGTAAAAAACCCCAACTCACTCACTCACTCTTTGTTGTTTAACGCCACACTGAGCAATATTCCAGCTATATGATGGCGTGTGAATAATGTCTGGACCAGACAATCCAATTATTGGTATTGTGAGTAGTTGACTTAAAAAATTATGACTGGAATATTATTATAATTTACTTACTGTTTCTAGTACTTTGGAGCAATTTTGCCCACAAAATATGTTATGATGGCTTGCATTTGTATCATTATATTTATGAAGGCTTTTTTCTATTGCAGCTCCGTGCTCCCCTGTACAATATTTTCAACGTTGAAGATGCCAACCAGGTGTATGAAGATTTGAGCGAGTGTCGAATCACCGGCCGAGCAATCTTCAAGTTCGCTAACACCACGTCCAACCTGGACAACTGACTTTGAGGACCAGACCTTACTCTGTGCTACAATACTTTCAATAGAGTCCATGGTGACCTTGATCACGTCGCCAGGAACTTTGATGGTGCTGCGCCAAGATGGCACGTGACTTCAGGAATGTGTGTTGCGAGCAGCGATTGTTGCCACCGACGCGGGTAGCAATATCTGTTGCCATGGCAACGAACGTACCACGGTTTCTGACACTTCCTAAGAGTGGTGCAAGGTTGTTGGAACCTTGATCGAAGTCTTTCAAGAACTGGATTGCCCACGATGAAAGTTCCTTTTGAAGATCTGATGTTACTAGTCTTGCTCGATGATCAAATATTGGAGTAGGATGCCACCCCTGTCTAGCTCACTAAGTCACTAAGTAGATGCAGATACTGTGAACATGAGCATCCTCTTCCAGGATGAGGATATCGGCATTTGATACAATGATTGAAGACTACCCGGTATCTAACTGGGTAGATGTGTAGCAAACTAGTGCTTGTTATCAACGGGAGAAAAGGACTTGTAACAATCGCAATTGTATGAAGTGCTTAACTTATGTGATGTGCCCCTAGTGCTTGGTCGATCCGTCGGCCGTTTACTTACACGTAGTGCGTGAAAGGGGACGTAACTCTTTACTCAACTGACTGGAACTGATTGTTCCGTTACTGTGATGTTGACATAAACACTTACTGAATGGCATTTTGTTGTTATTGGTGTACAGATTTGTACACGAGTTCAGTCGTGTTCAGAATGGATGATACTTTGTTCATAGTGCAGATTTTGTATGTATATTTATGTAAATATTGTATGAGTGAAAGAGCAGGTGTGCCCGGTGTTTTGTATAAAGTCTGAAAGCAAAGAAAAGTTTGAAAAATCCTAAAATAAAAAATATTAAAGAATTAATCTGTGTCTTTTGTGGTAATTCTTAAGTTTCAACTATGAGGTTGATGTGGACGGTAGGTTGATTGGTTTGTTATTTTACGCCGCACTCAGCAATATTCCAGCTTTATGGGGCGGTCGGGTAGCCTAGTGGTTAAAGCGTTCGCTCGTCACGCCGAAGACCCGGGTTCGATTCCCGACATGGGTACAATGTGTGAAGCGCATTTTTGGTGTCCCCCGCCGTGATATTGCTGGAATATTGCTAAAAGCGGCGTAAAACTAACTCACTCTCACTCACTCCAGCTTTATGACGGCGGTCTGTAAATAATCGAGTCTGGACTTCCAGTCCAGTGATTAATATAGTTAGCACCGATCCACGCAATTGGGATCGATGACATGCATCACCCAAGTCAGCGAGCCTGACCACCCGATCCCGTCAGGTTGATGTGGAGCCTTGGTTGACTGGAGATACGAGTGCCCGTGTATCGGACTAGGAATTCTGCTTGGTAGGAAAAGGCACTATATTTATCCAAATGGTGCTACGATTAGAGCGCTTATGTTGGTTGAATGGAGTTATTCCCAACACCAGAACGGGATCTGAGATATTTACATCGATTCGTACATCTTGTGACCAAAGTTCCCGTATTATAAGCAGCACAATTCCCATGTTTTAACCGTTGGGAAAAAAATATGCGCACGGGAGCAGTGTTTGACTGGCACAAGTCTTCAAGGAAATGATATCTAGTTTTATTCATAATTCCTAGATAATATGAATAATAACATGGACTTCTAAGGACATACTAACGATACGTCCATGGACTTACTCAGTGCAGGTTTGTAGCAAGGCTAGAGCAGTGCCTCCGCGGGACAGTGTGCTTGGGAACAGTGCTGATGAAGTGTACGTTGTGAATCAAGATGATCAACACAGACTTTCTGCATTATGATACAATTCTGTGCTAGTAACATGCGCAAAGCCCCTTTTGGGTGACCTTGAAATTAAGATCGTGTTTACTTCACGTGTCGATATTTGAATTTGTCTACCTCAGCTAGGAAGTCCCCCTGTGTGTATATGCAAGTCCCTGTGTGTATATTCAAGTGCCTGTGTGTATATTTAAGTGCCTGTGTGTATACTTAAATGACACATACGTATCCGTCTGTATGTTAACTCAGAGTGCAAGTGCTAATGGGACAGACACTTTGATCGGTTAAACCTTGTTGGTGTCATAACTATGAAGTCTAAAGATTGCACCATGAAAAGTGTGACGAGCTATCAGCTCCTTGTCGAGATCAAATCGCACTGGACGATGGTGTATGTAACAGCATTGAAACCACTGAGGCGAACAGATAACGGCCTCGTTGTGAACCCTGCAACTGTGAATATAACATTGGCACAGTCAATTGGAACAGCATTGCAGTCATCAGTTTGAACAGCATTGCACAAGTCGATCCGAACAACATTGCATACGATACATCAACTACTGAATGGAAACCTCTAGGCCTGTTGACAGTTGTGTTATCAACACAACAGTGTATTGCTGTGAATATGCGGGTAAGGGCTAAACAATTTAGAGGAAGTATTAAGATGTGCCAACAGTGTGTCATCTCCCGACATTCATCAGGTGGTAGCCGTCTGCGGTCATACGACGCAGCATCCAATCAAAGATGATGAGGCGGGTTTGTCTGGCATTGTTGGCAAAGATCTTGGTCATACGTTCATGTCGCTTGCATCAGGAGATGTTTACACCGCACGGCTGATTGCCATGTTTGTAAACTGCGGCGTCTTTGTCAGACACTATTGGCAAAGATGTTGGTCGCGCGACATTATATCTGGAGGTATATATACATGTGCTGGCATCGACGGTGCACGTGATAGCGGCCTTGTGTGGAGTACTGTTGTTTCACGTGCACAATGTGTGATCGGACTAACGGTTTTGTTCAAAACTCACCTTTCTAACGAGGTGTCACATCTTCGTCATTTTTTGCCTTTTTTCTATCTCTTGGGTTCTGGAGCATTACTTCCTTTTGAAGAAGTGAACGGATAAAGTATATGGTAATATTGGATGTCAACACGCCTATATTGATAGGAAGCCTGCATCAGCACCGCCACAACCATCACCATCTTCATCATCGTCGTCTTGAAACTGAAAGAGGGGCTGTTCAATTAATTAAGCTTTTGTTATCGTCTTGGTGACGGGGGCACGGGTGGTTTTAAGCATCATCAGCTGTATATAGAGTTGCGTCCCTTTGTTTCAACGATCCGCTGACTGTGGGTTCAAACCCCAGATCTGACCCGTCCACGATCCTTAGTGTGTCAGCACCGGTGTTGTTGAAGTTCATCAATGTTGAAAACATGCATAAACTTCAACGGACTTCGTCTCAGAGAGTGGGTGAGTTGGCTTTAACACAGCTTTGAACAGCATTCCAGCTGTATCCCGATGTGTCAGCTAAATGTGGGAGGAAATCCCGAAGTGATGTAGGTTTTAGACGTTAACCACTTTAGTGAAATCCACGAGCGCGGAAATTCATCTCGGATACGGCTTGTGAAGATCCGGGGTAGAATAGGTCTTCAGCAACCCATGCTTGCTGTAAAAGGCGACTATGCTTGTCGTAAAAGGCGACTAGCGGGATCCAGTTGCTAGGATCGATGCTCATGATATTAATCACTGGATTGTCTGGCCCAGACTCGATTATTTACAGACCGCCGTCATATAGCTGGAATATCGCTGAGTGTGGCGTTAAACAACAAACAAACCAACCAACCAACCATCTCGGATACTGTTCACAGTTGTATTAAACTCACTCACTCACTAAATTGGAATGGACAATGCAGTCTGGTTTCAAAGGATCACGATACTCTCTCTCTCTCTCTCTCTCTCTCTCTCTCTCTCTCTCCAGACGAATGACCTCCACAAAGATTCCTGTCCAGGAATATTGATTCCGGTGTAGATTTCAACATCGATTCTGTCGCGATAACTGACATGAATCCTTGGAGGTCAAAGCGATGGGCAGCTGTTCCTATGTAGGTGACCGACATGTGTCTCTCTCGTTACTTGGATGTGTAGGTTACAAGGTACGGTAACTTAGGAACAAGCTGACTGTGGTTCCTGAGTGTCGACCATATTTATATTAATTGTTTGACAGGCATTACCTAAAGCTGACGGGTGACAAAGTAGCGACAATCTATGGATAACAACTTGTATATTTACTGTAAAGTCGACGTTTCGGTATAGATCCTTATACCGTTGTCAAGCACTAAACTTGACAATGGTATAAGGATCTATACCGGAATGCGCCTTTACAGTAAATAAAAAAAGTTGTTATCCATAAATTGTCTCTACTTTGTCATACTTATATTTCGGGGTTTGTTTTGTAGCTTCAGCTGCAAAACCAGGTACTTGTTAAATAAAACTTGAAGCCTAAATATTTTTTTCTAAAAAACACCTTGAAAGAATGTAATTTTTTGTGCTAGGCGATTTCTTTTTTTTTCAGCAGACGAATTTTCAAGACAATTATTTTTTTCGATATAATACCATTGCCAACTTTCTTGTTTGCTCGGGTCTAATGACAACCATTTGGTTCTGGGACTACTCGGTGTGTGAGTGAATACTGTTTGATGCCAAACTCACTCACTCGCTCAACGTTGTAGGTTGGTACTGAAACTATCAACCTCTGGTTTAACTACTCCAGGCTCTATAAAACAAGGAAAGCCAACAGACAGATACATCCTGCAAAATATGACCCTAACACCTAGGATCCCCAATGTACTAGTCCGGACTAATTTCTTTTCATAGTGCTAGCCCACTGAGATACCATGGCGCAGTTTAACATGGATACCCCACTCATGGACACAGCATACTGACTCCGAGCCGACCAGTCCTTGTTTTAACCCCTTGATGCCGAGGTCTGCAGGGTAATGACACGAACCATCTTTTAACGGGTTTTTTTGGCACTCACACCCCATCAGTATACGTAATACCCCCAAAGGAGGACTAAGTGTTTTGAGCCACGGGTTTCACGCTGTAAAATGTGATCTCCCAGTCTCACTATGCAAGATGTGATCTCCAAGTCTCACTATGCAAGGTGTGATCTCCCAGTCTCACTATGCAAGATGTGATCTCCAAGTCTCACTATGCAAGGTGTGATCTCCCAATCTCACCATGCAAGATGTGATCTCCCAGTCTCACTATGCAAGATGTGATCTCCCAGTCTTACTATGCAAGGTGTGATCTCCCAGTCTTACTATGCAAGGTGTGATCTCCCAGTCTCACTATGCAAGATGTGATCTCCCAGTCTTACTATGCAAGATGTGATCTCCCAGTCTCACTATGCAAGATGTGATCCCCCAGTCTCACTATGCAAGATGTGATCCCCCGGTTCAGTATAACGTAAGACACAGTCAACATTGTCAATTATATATTCACTAATAAATACCAAAATCAACATTTTCCAATTTTAAATAATTCACTTCCTTCAGATCATAAACATAATGCAGTCTAATAGTGCCCGTGTGATTAATTCACCCTTGACATTGTGGTCTATATTTGATACGAGGTCGCTATCCATGGCTGCATCCACGTTCTATATCCGTTACAACGGTAAATCTGAACGTGATTGGCTAACCGAGTTTCACCGACGTGCACGACGGCCGACTACACCGATCACGCACACCGTGCCTGACAGCCGTGCTCTGCTGTATGTATCGACCCGCTCTCGCATATATTGCCTTCGTTTCCCAGCTCAATGTTAATACGTCTCCTGACTTCTGGATAGCTACCATAGATTGCCATATCGGCGTATCAGATGCTTAGATATGCGGGTTTGTCTGTTGTGTAGTAAGATGCTGTTTTAGAACTAATTATTTGGATATATACTTGGATTTGACAATGGCAAGGCGTGTGTGTATGAGAGAGAGAGAGAGAGAGAGAGAGAGAGAGAGCGAGAGAGAGAGAGAGAGAGAGAGAGAACGAGAGAGAGAGAGAGAGAGAGAGAGAGAGAGAGAGAGAGAGAGAGAGAGAGATATTCCT